TCCCGCCCTCAACTGCGTGCCGTCCGCTCGCGCTTCAGAGGGGTGGGGAGGGCGCAGGTGGCCTGTGGTGGCCTGTGGTGGCCTGTGGTGAGTAACGGGCCAGCGTGTCCGGTCTCCTCCTCACCGAGCCGCCGCCTTCTCCTGCCGCTGGTGTATCCCCGCGGCGTATCGCACCTGGTTACTTGTCAAGTGCGGTCCCCTCAGCTTTACGCCCCTGGTGTTGCAGTGGTGGGCCGGGGCACAGCTGAAGGCAGCAGGGTGCCCAGGCGGGCCTTAGTTGGGTGGTAAACTGAAGGAGATTGCTCTCTGGTGTGGGAATTGTTACTGCTGTTAGAGGTGGTAAGAGAAGCTGCTTCCCTAGACCTGGCATCCCTTGCATCTGGCACCTGCTCTCCAAAAAACCCCTAAGTCCATCAAGGGTGCTCACTTGGGATAGGCTTGGGGTATTTGGTGCTGCCGACTTCTGGTGGGGGGCGATAGGGGGAGAGTCACGGCTGCTAGGGTCTGGGAGAGGTTGGAAGTGTGAGCATCCCATTTCCATCCAAGATTCAATCCTCACTGACTTTCCAAAGGAAATACGCTAGGGAATGTATTTTTATTCTTGTAACTTCCAAGCTATGAACAGGAATATCAAATGCTCTCCTTCCAGGGCAGGCGGCTGGAATCCGAACAACATGAGCGCGTGCCAAACCTGCGCAGGAGCTAAAATAAGCCTCACTTCTCCCATATCACACTTGCATCTCCATGAATCACTAACAGGTGACAGTGCCCACTCATCCAATGGACCTCCATTCTTAGTGGCTGTGAGTGTTCTCTAAGGCTTGCTGCTGTTTGCATAAGATTGATGCTGCTGTAGTGGGGGTAGTCATTTTGATAAAAGATCCTTTTAGGAAAAGGAAGTGTTTCAGAAGAAGAAAGCACCGAAAGCATTGCAGGGTTAGTGAATGTTTGGTAGCATGAGACCTCACAGTGTGGCCACATGATGGCACCATAATCTTAAGAACTGAGAAGTGTGTGCACAAGTCTACTGGCATTGTTATAGGTTAGCTCTCTGATCTCAAGGACAGGTCCTAAACACACTAAAAACTTTTATATGCTTGTTTATTTTAAAACCACCTGAAGTTAGTCTTCTAGGGTCAGATTGAATTGTGTGAGATGATGCTTTTCCCATCTGTAAAAATAAATGAACACAAATGTAATGACAACCAAAATAGCATATTTTTTAATAGATTATTAGTGACAAGCAGTTAAGAACACTGGAGTTATCCTGATGGGTTCTGTGTTATTTGATGATGCTGGTTCTTAGTCCACTTGTAAAACCCTGAAATTGTCCTGCCTGCTCAGTGTCATAGCAACCTGCTATGAAGAGGAATTTCTCTTCCTTTTTCATTCTTCTGGGCTATTTTAAAAAAAAAGGGTGAGGGGGAGACAATCAAAAAGTCTAACACACAAAACTTAACCAACTTTAATGAATTGTATAATACAAAATATTATTACAATCTATTGGCGGAGTCCTTAATTGAATGCACTAGCAGTGCTACCAAGTACTGTGTTTTCTGTTATCTCCTTTAATGTGAATGACAGTTCAGTATAGTAGCTGACATCTGGCACGTTCTCATTCGCTAAAGTGTGTTTTCTTCTTGGTGAAGTGATATAAACTCTTGATAAGCTGCTCATCCACTGGGCCATCAATCTCTAAGTTCCACCTCTTCCCTTCAGAAGCTGCTTGTCGCTTGGAAAGATCCACGCTGTAGAAGAGAACACTGCAAAGGATTGGGGCTGCTTTTTGACATGCCTCTCAGAAAGCTTGTCAGTGTGGTTGTGCACATTTGGTTGTTGTGTTTTGCTCCTGCAGGGCTGGTCAGTATACATCCCTCGATGCCTGGCATCAAAGCCCTCCATAGAAAGTAACTTCTTAAAGGCGAGGTGTCTTAGGGGCCAAATGAAAGTTCTTGTCAAGAACAGAATAAAATAAAAAAATATTTTCATAAATGTATTCTAGAAGGAAGAAAAACAAAAAAGCCAGCCTATCTAGAAGTTGCTGCATATAGCTTCCTATCTCTTTAAATGCGTGTATTTGTTGTTTTATGCTGAAATTACCCAATTTCTGCTTATACCGATATAGTTACCCATGTTAAAAGCATATACGAAGTCCAGAAAACAACTGATGCACAGGGTCTTTAAAAAGAGCATGCAGCTGAAAATCTTGTAAATTAAAAGATGTAGTATACTTTTGTCATAGCTCCCATGTGGATGTAGTCCAAAAGGGGTCCTTAATATGACAAAACTGAATATCTTAAAACAAGTGGTTTGATAAGCAAAGATTTCCCTATTTCACTTCCTTCTTTCACAAGCACTTGGCAATGTAAAATCTCTTTGGGGCTGTTTGAAACATTTACTTCTTTGAAAATATTATTTAAAAGACTAGCTAGAGCAGTTGGGAAACAGAAATTGCCCTGCTGGATAAGAATGGCAATCAATGTATTCACTTTTAATTTCCTGTCTCCAGAGTTGTCTAAAATCATATATCTTAGGGGAAATATAAAAGTGCTAGAAAGGACAATTTGTCCTAAATCAATTAATAGTGTCATTATGGTGCGATCTTAAGCATGTGAGTATCCCCATATTTATTTCATCTTTTCTTTATATTCAAGTGCTTTGCAGGATCTGAGCTTTAAGGGGAAGCCCAGTCATATTTGACCATTTAACTAATTATGGAAGCTTTTGCTCTCTGTAAAACTCCTAAATGGCAGGAAAAAGCATTGTCATAGCCCCCACATGATACCTGCTTCTGAAACAAAAAAGAGATACTCTGTGCCCTTGACTCTGTAGAACAGTGAATGTCTTTACTTATTCATATGTTTTGATAACTTAAATGTCTATAGCATATGCTTATCTCTAAAAACATCTGGGTCAACCCTGTTCAGAAATTGTTTTCACACCTCTAATGCTGTTGTGGTTTTGCAGCCATTACAACTGCATTCGTTTTGTATTTTAAAGTTTTTCTCTTATGTAGGCTAGAAAAATGGCAAGCAAAATCACTGGACTAAAACCCTAAAACTGTGTTGACACATCGTCCACGTTTGATCTAACCTGGTTAAAGCTCTGTGTGCAATACTTTATTTTTAAAATATTGTAAACAAATTGTTTTTCTGATCAATGATAAGTTTGTTATATTAGCTTTTTACTACAAATGGCATATAAAACAGCAGTTGATTAAAAGAGCATTCGGAAGTATCAAACTCTCAAGTCACTTAGATATCAACACCTAACACCTAGTTAAAACTACCAAGAGAAAGATCCAAGAGGTTGGTACTCAACCATACGCAAAGGGAAATATATATTGAAATATCAGAGTCTCTTCTAAATGTATAAAATTTTCCCATACCCCTTGTAAAGATTCTGTATCACAGACCTCAGTAATTTAGCATTATTTACAAAGATAAAAAACCAGACTAGTAAAACATGTGACTGAGACTGAGTTTAAATGAGTGAGATATCTTGTGTAAGGTACAGTCCAGAGATGTTTCCAAAGAACCAGTGTCAATTTCTAACCTCTAGTTCACTTCAAAAAATTGGTATATGAGCCTGCTAGCTTAGGCCCTCAGCCTTAGTGTGGTTTTGGGCCCTGTAGCTCTAAACTATGCTTTTACATTCACAAGAAAAGAGAGAACATTTTTTTCCCTAAAAACCTACAGAATCCCATGTTGGCATATCTAGGTAGCTAATTTGATGCATCCTTTTCATTTATGTACAAATACCCAAATGTATGAGAAAATACAAGCTTAGGTAAATATGTGTTCTGTGATCTTCTGCAGCTGCCTTAGAGCCAATATCCAGGGCAGATTCTGTAGGCTTTCATCACAGACTTGATTTTACAAAAGTCAATTCCACTTTTTCGCTAGACACAATTTACAATGCAGCAGAAACTTCTTGTTCTCCAGTAGATTGTGTGTAGGTGGAGCTAGCCCGTTCAGCTGTGTCAACATAGAAAACGGGACAGTATTTAGAGAAGTGGAATGCAATCTGCTTTCGGAAAAAGCTATGAAGATACTTCCTAAATTTTTCTCCAGCGAAGGCATAAATTACAGGGTTGATACAACAGTGGATCATTGAGATTGTTTCTGTCACTTGGGTTGCTTTGTGCAGCTGACCACTGCCTTCACAAGTAGTAACAGAAAACAGACCTTGAAAATCACGCAAAAGAATACAAATGTTGTATGGTGCCCAGAACAAAAAGTAGACAATCATTATGATAAAAATAAGCCTGACTGCTTTATGTTTCTTCTCATTCCTACATTGCAGTAATGTCTTTATAATTTGTGTGTAGCTGCAGATCATAATTAACATTGGAATAATAAGTCCCAGGATGTTCATTTTTAAGGTCAGGAATTGCTTCCATACATTTCTCTGCTCTGATGGATAATGAGCACTGCAAGTATAACGTGAATTTTCCTTTTGAGTTTTGTGAAATACTATGCCAGGAACAGAAGCAAAAATAGCAACAGCCCAAGTGACAACGCTGGTGAGGATGCCGTAAGTAACTGTTCTAGCTTTTAAAGCAAACACTGCATGCACTATGGCCAGATATCGGTCTAGGGTCAACAGGATTATGAAAAAGATGCCGCTGTAGAAGCCAAGGAGGTAAAAACCTGAGAGAATTCTACAAAGCGCCTCCCCAAAAATCCAGTCATGAACAGCATAATAAGCCCAGAAAGGGAGAGAAAATATAAACAGCAAATCAGAAATTGCCAAATTGAGCAGGTAGATGTCAGTCATACTCTTCAGTCTCTTGTATTTTACCAGGATAAGGACAACGAGCATGTTGCCTGTGAAACCAAAAATCACCACCAAAGAATAAAGCGGTGGCAAAAGTTTTGCTGCAAAGTGCTTTTCCTCGGTTCCCGGGCATGGTGTTGAGTCACCATAGTCGAATTCTGTTGTCAGCGACCAGTCGGCTAAGTCCATGGTTTGGTTTTCCATGGTGTGTTGGTCTGGAAAGGAAGAAAAGGATGTTAAACTAGAGGAAACTGCCAACTTAGCAGTGAGGAGAATGAAACACGCTGATGTCCTCATCTGGAATGCTTTGTGCTGTTGAGCACATCAGTGTTACTACAGCAAGGTATGGAAGCAAAATGAACTTGCAGAGCTCCCAGGAAACCCATCTATATACCCGTGAAGTCACGTTACTGCATGTTGGAAGTGTCCTGCATGTCATTTTGTATGTGTACGCTGTCTGGTGTGGTTTTCCTCCTCAGTAGAGCCTGCCAGGTGCCTGACCCAACTGGGAGCAGAGGAATGATGAACTTAATCTGAGCAGTGGGTAGTTTGGGTCTGTTGTGCTCAGCAGTGGCTTTCCAAAGGGGTGGAGCGAGCCGGCAAGGCAGCAACAGGAAAGCACAGTGGCTGGCACGCAGAGCATAGCTGTGCTTGTCCTTGGGACCTGGCCATCTTCTCATTGTGCCAGTCCGTACTGTAGCACTTGCCCAAGGAGGACCAGGCACTGGCAAGGTGTAAACCGGTGCCTGCAAAGGTGCCATGACATGGTGTCATCATTTAGGCCAAATAGGCCAGCGGGTGAGTGCCAGATGCTCCCCTATACTCCTCTATAAAGAGAGAGGCAGAGGAGTGAAAAAGAGACTTATAAGTTTAGAAGAAACTAAAGTACTTAAGTGAAATATTAATAATAAAATAAGAAGAAAATAATGAAATATGTAGATAATTGTATCAAGCTCCCAGGATGACAGAAACATCACCGGCTGGCACTGGGGAAGTCCCAGACTGCACTCAGTGACAGACGGGAACGGGATTCCGAATCTGGATTCAGTATCGGGATCAGAAGCAGATGAACTGACAGAGTCCTCCTCAGGCATCAGCCATTGAAGAAAGAGGGCTGACCCTTTGATCCCTCAGCTTTTTTACTGAGCATGAGGCAGATGGGATGGAATACCCTGTTGGTCAGTTTTAGGTCACCTGTCCTGTCCCCTCCTCCCCACAGGTGCAACCCCTCTATGCTTTTCCGCTTCCGACCCTGCAACGGGGCAAGTAACAAAGTTATCTGGCCTTGGGTGTTATAGCAGTAAGTCTAAGCAAGAGCCTCTCTGCATACCATGCCTGGGCATCAACTATAAACATAGGTCTTATCACCCTGAGAGAGTGAACATTGTCTGCACAATATGCTGTTAATTTCAGTTTATAGAGAGGCCCAGCTAAGAACCGAAGTTACTGACCAAAATTGGTTCTTTTTTACCTCAAACCAGGACAAGAGGTTAGATTAAGTGTGAAGGTTTTCATGTCTGGTCAGTTTATATCCTTAGCAGAATACATTTTCAAGGTACTGCCAATTTCAGTAGTATGAAGAGGCCCAGCTAAGAAGCAAAATTACTGAATAAAATTGGTCCTTTTTTACATCAAACCAGGACACATGGGTAAAACAAACTGACTGCCATTTGTTCCAGTTGTTCATGACTTCTTGGGAGTCTTAATGCCTGTGGGAATCAGGTCACTGGAGGTGTACAGATGACCTTTGCATAGTACTAAACATACACACCTGGTGGACCTGCAGTCCTGGGTGTTGCAGAGCAGCAAGTCGGCAGTGTTGGTCTGGGTTAAAATGGGAAACGCTGTGTCGTTTACAGAGTCTGGGTCAGGCGTAGGCCATGGAAGCGATCTGGTCTTGAGTAGCTCTGGAGTGAAAATGGTGTGCAGTCCTGTAGAAAGAGGAGATACCTTGGCAAACACCTTGGCAAATGGCATAAAAGATGACAGTTGCTACCAGTTTGGCCTATAACACCTGTATCTGTTGTGGCATCTTCCTGTCAATTGAAAGACCTCCCCAGTGCTCGGGGATGAAAGAAGTTTTGATTCCTTGTTTCAGTGGCTGTTTAGCAGCCAATATTCAGGAAGTCGAAAGTTTAGATTGGCTCAGTGTGTTGGAGGGGGCACAAATGGAAAAGGCAAATGTGGCCATCGCTATGAGTGTCCACTAACAGTTCTTCATGTGTAGCAGTTGTTTGATATTGTCCTTCATCCTTTTTGAGTTGGCGTTTCCAGTGAGGTGAGATCGTAATTGAGGAAGTGCAAGGGTTGCCCAAACTCTCTGTCCCTCCAGCTTTGGTTTGGGAACTGTTGGCGGGACTGGGCTTCCCTTGCACAAAGGAGTCACGGCCTGGGAGGTAAGTGTGCAGCAGAGCTGTGAAAGCCCTCAGGCAAGTTTTGTTATAGCGGGAACAGGTAAAGGCTTGTGACTTTGATGTCAGCCCTTCCTGTTGCCAAACCCTTCCCCTTCCCCCAGTCCCTGGTAGGACTGTGAGCCAGATGCAGAAGTGTAACTTTTTTAATTTGGTCTGAAAAGCTGAGGAGATCTGCCTTTGCACAGAATACTTCAGGTAGCATGTCTGCCCCAACTGCCTGTGATCCCTGACCACTCATGTAGTGCAGCAATGTTTGCTCCTTTATGCACTTTTTTCAGTGGCAGGGTTTACCCTGTGTGATTACAGACATCTTTTGCAGAGACCACATTCTCAAAAGCACCACTTCATTCTCTCGGCACTTGAGTTCTGCAAGGCTAAATGTAACTGAAGAAACTCAGCCCATGGCTGGAGTGACACAGGGGCAGGCCCCCGGACTGCTTTTTGGTAGAAGCTCATAGTGGTCCATTCTAAGCTGTAGCCTGTGAAATCCCTGAAGTGTCTCTTGTGTCTCTCTAAACAAAACTGTTCAGGTGAAACAATTGTTTTCTGCTGTAAGCACAGATCGCTCAAAATGCTAATGTACTTATCTTAATTTTTGTCAAGGTGGTTAATTTAGCTAAACCTAAGCTGAGGTCTTGGGAAAGGGAGTGGTTGCTAGGTCTTTGACCACTTTCCAGTGACCTTAAAAATGAGAATCTGAGTCTCTCCTGAGCTGCCAGCTCTTGACGGAGATTTTTATGCTGCACAGTGCAGATATGAATCTGCCCAAAAGAGGAGGAAATTTATTGGAGCAAAATCTGTACCTTGTGAACAAAAAGAGGTGCTGCTTTTCTTTTTTCCTACCCCTTCCCCAAGTTCTTCCAGAGTCTGGCTCTCAACCCTGCTCCTAACAATATCAAGAATGAGAACATTCATGTTCAGACATTATGTTGGCATGTTGAGTATGGCATGAAGTTTTTTTCTGCGTGAGAAGGAGTAACAGAAAATTGGTCAGTTTTAACATTTTAGGTCTCATCTTTGCCTGGATACAAATTCTTGGGGAGAAAATAAGTGCATTCAGACTCCTCAAAGACCAGCTTTCAGGAAGCTCTGGCTATCTCTGTGAAACAGGTTTTTATCCATAGCTGTACTAACTACATAGTTATTACAATACTGAGATAATAGTTTTGTTGGTAAGGGAAGTGGCTATGGCTCAGGTGCATGGACAGTAAATAAGTTGATTTTAAAGTAAGGATTTCTATTTCTTAAATACTTTCAGCAACTCTTTTAGAAAAAAAAGCACCTTTATAAAACACTCTTTGGTCCAAAACATTAACTTCTTTTTTTCAAAACATGACAAGACTTGCGCCCTATGCAAATATTTAGTATTCCCTTCGGCTAGATCTGCTAGATCTACGTTGCATGCCTGACACTACAAGTCCCTGGTACTGCATATAGTTAAATATCCCCATTTCTGATGTGTCAGTCAGCCATGCTGTACAGTAGGATTATGGGATGAGGGACTGGCTGCAACACAGTGCCAGACCCAGCACACCCTGTCTTGATCATTTTGCACCTGCGTGATGCTCATGCATAAACATGGGTGTGAAAAACACCTGTGCCATAAACCCAGAGTGGGATTTGATGAGTATGTGATTGATAGAATTCATGCAAATATTGTTTCTGACATGGTTCGGGCCGGGCTGGCCACTAAAACAAACGACAGATGCTCTCTTTTACTTCTCTCCCCTTCAGATAACGAAGAGGATCTCCCTTCAGGGAGAGAAGATTGAGAGAGAGAGACTTACAAGTTTAAAAGAAACTAAACTACTTCAATGAAATGTTAATAATAAAACAATAAAAAATATAGTAATATATATATAAAAGAAAATAATGAAATATGTACAATATATACAAAACCAGTATCAAGCTCCCAAGACGACAATCACATCACTGGCAGATGCTGGGAAAGTCCCAGACTGGACACAGCGACGGACAGGAGCTGCACTCAGAAACTGGATTCAGGAATGCATGGATCAGGATCAATGGCAGATGAACAGAGTCCTTATTGGGTGCCAGACATTGAAGAAAGAGGGCTGACCCTTTGATCCCTCAGCTTTTATACTGAGCATGAGGCAGATGGGATGGAATACCCTGTTGGTCAGTTTGGGGTCACCTGTCCTCTCCACTCCTCCCCGCAGGTGTGACCCCCCTACACTTTGCTGCTGCTGACTCTCCAACAGGTCAAATAACAAAGTTATCTGGCCTTGGGTGTTATAGCACTAAGTCTAAGCAAGAGCCTCTCTGCATACCATTCCTTGGTATAAATTATAAACAATCAGATCTTATCACTCTGGAAGTGGATACTATTGGAAAAATATGCCTTTAATTTCAGAGAGTACAGCTAGTTAGAAGAGGCATAACTGAAAAGTAGAATTACTGAGCAGAAAATTGTGTCTGTTTTACCTCAAAATGCTGCCTTGATAATATTGCAGTAATGCTTTTCACGACAGCTCGTTCTTCCTGCTAGCTGCTATCTCAGTGCCTTTCCTCCTTTTCCTCTGCCTTCTTGTAATGACCACATCTTCCTTGCATCTTATCTTCTTCCTTTCAACCCTTTTTGCATGCTTAAATTGTGGTCTTTCCACTGTGTGGTTCCTTCCGGTAACAGCCCCATTCCTCTAGCCTAGCCTTTGCTTCAGAAGTCTCTCTCTGCAAAAGTACTTACTACCCTGAATTGTGTATAGTATACACCACATGCTGACAATGGAAGCTACAGGTACTAATTTGGAAACCAGAAAAAGGAATTGT